AAAAAACTATGTGCTTGTATGAGAAGATGCCTTATGGATGTAGAAACCTTAAGCTTTATGGAATCTCTTTGACAGACTGTTGGGGACATTAAAATCTAAAATAATGTTTTGGGTCTGACCTTGTATTTTTCAGTGGTTTTCACTGTTGTTTGGCAAGGACTCTCTCTGTTACTCTTGAGGATTTATCTCTTATTACCAAATATAGCCAAAGGTAATAGAGGAGGTTAGTTTAGACCTAGGGATTGTTCTCCTTCTGTAGAATACACAGCCAGAACCCCAAGTTCTTTGTTATAAAAGATAAAACTTACACTTTCAGAATTTAAGTAGAATGTCTGTAATTCATAATTTAGATTACAATGTCATTATGTTGAGAGGCTATCTATAAGCTTATAATTAACATAAAACCTTATGTATTGTTCTCATTTGTGGTGTGTATTTATAAATTTTGATTTTCAAAACTTATTGCAATCTGTAAGAAGTTTTCCAGTGACATTTAATCAGATTCAGACCAGACCATAAATATTTCATTTTATGTAGCTACCACAATGTGGCTGACATTTCCCCCTTATATGGCTTTCCTGTGTAGGAAAAATCAGGAAGATTAATTCAAGTTAACTTTCAAAATGGATTAATTAGGCCATATAAAAGTGTTTTGTGGACACTAATTCAGAATCAAAGCAGCCTCAGTGAAATTTTCATCAATTCAATTTCAAAATAGGTTAAACTAAATTAAATCAATGTCATCTTAGTTCTTAATAAATGACCACTCAACCTTCATCCTCACAATTCTAACAAACATGAAATATTGAGCCATCCATGTGTATCCACAGAACGGAGCCTGTTCTACACAGGATTTCTTGCAATCAGCCTTAGTGCACAGCTCATCCTGCTCTCACACTGAACACTTATACTGCAGAGTGATGAGCACCCTGGAAAATCTTAATGAGAATATCCTGCATAGACACAGGTCTTGTAAGTGAATGAGCCCAGAACTGATAAAAAAATTTTGAAACTTGTCAGAGTGCCAGTTCCTTCTATTAATTTCCAGCCAATGGCACACTTATGTCGAGAGAATAACATTAATGTTAGTGATTTATTGCTGAATTCTGGTGAGGAAAAAATGAAGAATCTCTAATATAAATTATTTCAAGAATGCTATTACTGTTTTCATTATTACTTTCAGAGACACAGCTGTTACAGTTAATGGCCCCTTCCTTGATCTATATTTCTATTTCAAGAAAGGACATCACATATTTTCTCCTCAACGTTTTTGTTCAGCTTCTTTGATCTAGTCACATTCAAACGGTCAGCTTCAGGATTAGGAGTTTATGCAGGTGAAGTGCTGGAAGAAGCTGCTGACAGAATACCAGAACCATCATGTATCTGAGATACACAGACTGGGTGGCAAGGACAGTAGAAAATATAGTATCTGTAGCTCATCACCTACTTATAGATGAGAGCTACTTGTCCAGCACTGATGAAATTCTTGCCTTCTCTTTTGAATATAATGCATCATTTTCAAAATTGTTCAATGTTTCTGTTTTATATAAGAGTGCCAATATCTTTGTGCTTAAGGAAACAGACAAAACCTGCAGCTTCAAAATAATGAAAAACATCGTATTTTCTTTCAAAGTCTTCAAATGCTTCAGAACAAAGGAAAAAAATAGAGTGGTCTCATTCTCTTCCAAAATAATGATCCATAGGAAAAAAAAATCTTATACATTGTACTGCTGACAAATTTATTTTCCCTTAGCATTGAGGAAACATCCTTGATGGTGTCTCAAATGGCTCTCATTTCAAATCTCACATTAAATAGAATGTTCTGCTTTTGTAGACTTAGAAATAGTCTTTGCTTTGGAAAATATATTACAAGAAGACAGCAAGTGCAAAGCAATAAAACAACCTTACAGTAATAAACCAATCACTATGTGCTAATACAGACATGTAATGAATTTGTCTACAAGAGTTGCTGAGGTTTTTATGTGGTTTTATGTGCCATTGCATATCTTCTGCTGATAACATGATTAAATAATTCCTCTTTATGCTAGAAAACATCTGAGAACCTGTATCGCTCTCTCTCACTGCAGCAGCAGTGGAAAAATCTCGCTGAGAAATACTTTTTTTCATAAAAGTGCTGGCATAATATGTTCATATAAACTGTGTTCCAACTCTGCTTAATGATAATTTTACTTTTCCTAGAGGTACAACTTTGTCTAGACAGTAAGTAGAGAAGTTCCCATGTCCAAGAAAGATTTAACCCTCTAATAATGTATGTAGGTAGATGGATGAATTAAATTAGTATTAATCCCACTATTTCTCACTTTTCATACTCTTCCATCACAGCTTCTCTTTGTTTCTACCACATTCGCACATCTGTGCGCTTAGATAACAGTGCAATAAAAACATGAACCTGTTCAACTAACTGTATGACAAATGCAACACACATTGTTTCCTGAGTTTTCAGCCATGAGTTCCAAGGTAATTACAATAAGCCTAATCAACTTCTGATTAATTTAGATTTTCATACCTTGGTATAAGCCTTGAAACAAACTAGGACTTATATAAGCTGTTCATATAAAGGGTGTGGTAGATAGTCCTCACCACAGAGTTGAATTTATAATGCTACAAATTTCACTCCAAGAGTTAGAAAATCTGCTCCTGTGTGCTTGCAAATACATTTATTATAAGAGAAGAAAAAAAAGAATTTCTAAGATTTTTTTTTTTTTTTCACTTGGGTAAGTTTCAGTCTGGGTATAGGTGTCAATTTTGACATTTAGGACAGGAGAAAGAAGGGGAAATAATTCCAAGTAATTGCTTACAGCTCTACAAGAGAGTGAAGTGTAGTTTCTACTGCACATATCACCATTGTTTATGAAAGATACAGTACTGCTTAAAATTCTGTTTAAATGTGGAGCATTCTAAAATGGAAGATATATACATCTTATTTAATTGCTTAGTTTTCTTTATCTGATTGCTTTTTAATATCAGGGAAAGGTTGAAGGACTCTGATCAAAATCTAAGAACAAGTGAATCTACTCCATTCAGCTTTTGAAAGCTGAAAAAAGATTTACTATTTTCAATTTTAGATTAGCTCAGAATGTGCAAATCCTTTTTTACTTCTATTTATCAGCAAGAAGTGTTATTATTCAGTGCACTGGGGAAAATGCACTGGCTTAATCTGCAAACAGAACAGACAGAAGCTATCAAGTTCTAACTCAAGACCTAGGATTTGGTCTCAACTTTTAAAGTCTCAATTTGAGCAAATAACAAAGAACAACATTCATAAAGAGAAATCACTTTGATGTTCTGAAAAGCTTTCATCTCTTCCATCCATTGTCTGAAAATTAACTTATCCTTTTCAGTGGACAAAGAATAGTTTGAAAATACTCACATAGTAAGTTCTATTTGCAAAGCAGGTTATGATCAATGGTTTGCACAGAGCTGCTTATGATCTGGGAAATATCAGTCAAGAATAACTGCACATTGATAATGTACAATTAAATTAACCAGTCATAACAATTACTGTAAATGAAACCCATAGTAACACAGTTTTTGAATGCTGTAAACTTTGCAGGAGTGTGGGGTGCAGAAGAAAGACAACTGGTAGACAAATTTTAGTACATTCCTGTTTTACACTGAATTTGGATTTTTGCATCATAAAATAATTCTTTTATCTCCTGACAAAATATTTAGTTTAACTTACTGGTTATTTATTATGATTAGTACTACTTGATCTATATGAATTCTATATTAATAAAATAGTAAATTTTTGCTAGCATAGATTCTACCTCTTTATCTATCAGATAACAACAGAATCATTAAGAAGAATTAAACTCTATATCTGAATTTTTAAGTCCATATTCCTGAATAAAAAAAAAAAAAAGATGGGAAAATAAGCTATTATTTTATGTAGTTATCCTTATACAACAGTCTTGTGAGCCATGTGTGCAAATATTTTCATGCAAATACACATGCTAACATTTGTATGCTTGATCTTAGCATTTAATTTCCATTTTCTCTTCCTTGATGTCAGATCATTCAGTAATTGTTTTATATTAGCTACCTTTATTATTATTCTTCTTTGAATACATTAAGTTTATACATATGGATAAATAGATATTTCTAAATACATAGATACATATAACTACACATACGTCACACACTTTATATCATGTACACAGGACTCTAAAGCATTCTACTTACAGTAAAAGAGATTAAAACATCATATACAATGAAATAGTCTGGATAATTAGAGGTGAACTTCTTTCCCCAGTTGTTTAAGACAACAAAGTTGCACTGGAGAATTCATACTAATATTTAGTTCCTCTTTTCTGTGTAAACCAGTTACACCTCACAGGTGAGACTGAAGACTTTGATCCTTATCTGTCATGAATCAGTGCCAGTCCACTGACGTCACAGATATTAATTTATACTAGTGAAGTATGTGGAACATATTTTTATATTTATTGTAAACTAGGAAAAACATGGAGATAACCAATAACACAATGCAGTGAGATTTCTTTCTAAGATGCCTGACATTTATTCACCTTTTTTTTTGCAGGGGGTTGGGGCAGAGGGCACACTGTGATAGGAGGCAATAGTTATTAATGTGTGAGAAAAGAAACTGAACAAGTTTCTTCTGATGTGGTTTTGTCATGAAACAGATTTTCAGTGACTTTTAAATAATGGACTACCAAATGAATTACAGGCTACTTGGTTTATAATGGAATTATCTGAATATATGGTTATAAATTTAGGAAGGTGGCAAAGGAATATCATTTGAGCAAATTATTCTCCATGGGAATGATGTTTATGGATTTGATTTACTTGGCTTGCCTCACATCTTGTCCCTTAGACTTGAATGAGAGATGTGAAAAGATTGCAAGTGTAATCTCCTTTAAAAAAACTAATCAAAAAACACAGTCAAGACCTGAAACAGAAAAAGTGAAATTCTGGAAAGGAAAAGCAAGTTTCTTTTACAGTAAAGGAAAATCATGTACCTGATGTCAGGTTGTGATGTTGTGGAGCTTCTTTTCGTGGTGGGACTCCTAAAGAACAAAACACAGATGATAAATTAATCATCAGTTTCAGGCAAAAATGTTTAAATAAATTTCAGTGAGAAATATACTAATTTCTTGGAATCAACTCACAGATAGGCATCTCTATAAACCAGTTTTATTTTTAGGTGTGACTTTCCTCAGAAATTATTTCAACATAGAAATTTTATGTCTAGTAAAACCATAGAATCAAACTGCTTCTAGGTGCTAGTTCAGTGACTTGAACCAGTACAACTAACTAACCGCTATCCTTTGAGGTTCCAGGACTTCAGTACAGAATGCTTATATGTGAGTCATTGTCTTTAACGAATGAAGAGGAGATATTTATGTCTTAGACCACCAACTTAACAAATTAATGCAATTTATTACTATTAATTATCTTCAGAAGTATAGGAGAAACCACTTCTCTGTCTGCATAAGGAAAGGATCAGGCAGTGTTATGTACAACAGGTTAGTGCAAATATAGTTGACCACAAAGTCTATCCTACGTGTCAAAACCAATTCTTGTTACCCATGTAGTTATTCTACAGCATGCAGCTGATGATCTAAAGCATCACACAAGCTATGGAGATAAGTTTGCACTACCTCACTAGGGAGCGTAACAGCAGACTAATTGGGCACTACTAATCCTACTAGTCTGTGGATACAGCACTGGAGGCCCCTGCAGACAGGTTAAAGCTGTACTGGGCAGGGAGGGACAGAGGCAGGGCACTGCCACAGCCAGACTGGGTGCGCTGATGTAATCCTTGATACTTGCATGCAAAGAAGCCATCAGACATTCAATTACTGGGGATTCATGCACAATTTCACAGTTTTGGCTTATACTTGCACATATTTAGAAAGACTAAAAAAGCTCCTCTTTCTAATCCCATGAAAAAAACATAATATTTTCATTTTCATTGTTGTTTGCAGAGATTTTAATCCCTTTATTACCTTTGTTTTTTTCGTCCTTCAGATGTTTCTTCTCAACTGGTTTTTCTAGCAAGGAAAAAGTAGCAGAGTTCAGGGTTGCTAATTATTACCTAGAGTTTTCAAGTAAAAGTCTTTGAAAATTAACACAGATCATTTAGGGGTTGTTTCAAATAACAATTCATGTAAAATTGTAATTTCATAATATTTTAATTGTGATCATCTACATATACATACACAGAGTAAATTCCTACCTTGTTTTCCCTTAGCCGTCTTTGTCTTTTTCATGGCTAGAAAGATTTACAAGGAAACAGCATTAAGTGACAGGTATCAGAAATATGGGGCTCTTTCAATAAGTACATTGCACAAAGCTGATCTCCCTAGTAACTTCCCTGGAATAATAACTGTGGTAAATGTGTCTCATGGCATGTATGCAGTGTATCTAATATTACTACAGTGGATGCTACCCTTAGTGGCAGTAGCAGTTCCGGGCTTTCTGAACAGTTGCTGGAAATTATTTGAATATTGCTGGCTGCAGAGTAGTTTGGAAACTCCTGATAAAGGCTTGAAGCACTAGAATTCTATAATTCCCTAACTACTATCAGAAGTCTCTAATTATTGGTGGCCAAAATGCATCAGGGAAGGATCACTCTGCCTATTGCCGCCTTCTTACCCTCTTTCTGTGAGCAATCTCAATCATCTGAAACAGATAAACAGTAAAAAAAAGAACAGGATATGGAGCTAGATGGACCTTTAAAACCACCGAATACGACCATTCTGAAGTCTTGCAGAAGTAGGTTCTGATTTATTTTATTTAGTTTATTTTTCCCTAATTGTACATTCACTTAGAGCATGTGTTTTTTTCTTTTCAGCATCCTTTTCACCAGCCTGCAAACACAGACGTTTGGTCTGTGACTGCATTCAACAAGGCAGACTGAAATTAAGTAAGGTGTATTGCTTCAGGCGTTTGAGCCCATTTTAGTATTCCTTGTTGACTACAGCAGAAAACTGGCAGGTTGCCTTTGAATTGTTCATTTTCACTTCATGTCACCCAACCAGTTGTAATAACTCTTTGTTGAATGTCTTCTGATATGTGTGTTATCTGATTAAGACTAGCTTCCTCAGTGCTGATCACCCGTGTCTAGCTCACCAAAACAGGCTGCAGAAGATGAACAGTGAAAATATCATAATCCATGGATCAGAACGGTCTTCGGCAGAGAACTGCATAGCTGCAATGCTGTCAGTTTAACAATGCTTGTTTACATTAGCATTGTACATTGTTGATGAAAATTTGTATTACTCAACACTGGTATGTTCATTAACTCTTCCCGTAAGACATACCAGAGAAATGTAATATTTACCTGCTGTTGGGATTTCACGTGTTGGCTCTTCAGGAAGATAACCAGAAATGAAGAGGAAAAGAATATGAGGTTCAGTCCCATGTTTTTTTTCAAGGCAAGTAACCATTTAAATATATCTTATCTTTCATCTGCAACTTTTCTGCAGGATATTAATTTGAAAAGGAATGTGACTTAGCAATGAACATGTACACAAGCAAATATTTAGGGTTATTTTTAAATGTGCATTCAAGGTTATAGCTGACTATACTATTTTCCAAAAGATGTATTCAATTTGTTACCTCTCTTTTCTTATCATCCACACATCCCAATCAAAAACCTTGAATAGCTGGCACTCACCCCTGTATAACTGTTTCTCCTGCATTATCCGTTTGCCTTGCCTTTTAAGAGTAAAAACTCTTGAGTTCTGGAAAAATTTTGGCTACATTTTTGCACAGCACCTAGCACAAAAGAAGCATGTAGTCCTGTGCTATTACAATATCCATAATAATTAATGAAAATTGATCAGTTCAATGGGATAAAAATTCCTGGTGTAAACCATCATTACTCTTTTTAAATCAAAGGAATTAATTAAACTGGTTTAGAATCCAATAATTTTTTACCCATCACTACTTCATTAGTCCTGTTTGTTTTTTTTTTTTTTAAACACAATTTAAAAGAAACAGAATAACCTCACTAGCCAAGCAAATCCTTTGTTCCTTGAACCTAGAGCTAGAGAGAAAAGGAATATGCTCACAAAACATTTCAGGGTCTCCTTTGATTGAATTAACTCTGTAGTTTCTTCATGCTGAATTTGGACTTCAGATGAACATAAGGTTCTACAGCTCACACCAAGGTGAAAATGTTTCAGTCAATGTTTTTCAACAGGAAGATGGAGCAAAGAAGCATGTTTTTCACTAATACATCCCAGGAAACTTTCATTCAGGTCTTCATTCATAAGAAGACTCATAAATGTCAGTGCTCAATACTCAGGCATCACAGGCATTCAGCAAAGGCCAGTTTTGCTGCTATTAAATGCTAACATGCATGAATACTTTAATATTTATTTTTCTTCTTATGATCATGCTCATAGTTGCTGAAAGCTTATGAATTACTACTGCATTGTGATCCATGAATTAACACCTGTTCTCATTTTCAGAAGGGAAAAAAAAAAAGATTTTTCTGAGGCACTAAATCTGGGAAACCGTTTCATGCTCTCACTGCTTAACTGAGAGGTTGGTTGAGGTATGCGGACTTGCCCAGTTACATGCATATGTCCTAATTTAGGATTATGATGGATGCCATTAGATAGCGAGGTACTGGAAGACTGCTGACCTGAAGAGTAGTTAGTTTGACCCTCTGGTGTATATCACATAAGGACCATTTCTCCTCTCAGTGTGTAAACAAAATTTCACTTACTCCCAGGGCTTTGGGAAACACTTTATTCCTATCATGGGAATTTCATTATAGAATAAATGGGAATAGACTTTGAGGAATGCTTAGTTTTTTCTTAAAATATCATCCTACATGTTCTTCTTCTTGATTACAAAATGCGGGTTTGTGTTACTTCTTGCATGAGTGTGCCACCAGTTTTGTCCTCTGAGGTAACTTCTCACAATTTGAAAGTCTTTATTCAGTATGCAGGGAGTAAATTCTGAGTTTCATTACATGTTCAAATTTGATATAGGATCAATTGCTTCCAAAGACCCTCCTGAATGCTAAAACAGAAATAGTGAGAAATAAGATAGGATACTAATTGCTTTTATAATTGCACGGTTATTCACATAGCAAGTTACTATAAAAATGTATTTGTTGTTAATTTGGGACTTCTCAAATCCAGACTTGTATCTCTGTTTATAACCTGTCATTCATTTGATGATACAACCTCTCTACTGATTTAAACTCCATTTACTTTTACAGTAAGACTGCATGGGGTGTGAATAAATTCAGCCCAGGATAAATGTATGGATTTATTTTATATTCCTACTAGACCTGAACTTCAAAATCAGTGTGTATTTTGTGTCCATGGCTACATCTCATACTGAATTACATGATAGCTATGTCCATGTTATGACAAATATACTGTACACCTGGCTGAGAAATATATGAAGCAAAGCTATATAGAGCTCTAGAAATAAAGAAGGCAGTGATCCAACTAAGTGTTCTTCTTTGAGCAGAAAAAAGTAATTTAAAATAAATAGCTCTGGTACTTAAAATCTTGAGCTTGATCTATTCAAGCATGGTTAGCTCAAAATAGGCCTTGTAAACAGAGTTACTTTTGTATATGATCACATCATAGGTATGTTTGTTACTGTGTGGGTTTTTTTTTTTTCCTTTTCTTTTTCTAAAGGCAGTATTAACCTTTATAACGATTTCAAGCAACAGGATATAAGCTTAAGAATGTGGTACAAACATCCATTTGCAAAGGTCAGGGGGAAATACCTTGGCTGTTCCTTATATTCACGATATGCCAGGGTAATATAGCTTCTGATAAAAAAGCATTGTAGACAGTGATCCTTACTTTGGAAAGCATGAGGAATTAGTCACTTAAATCTCTGATGGGCCTCTAATAGTAAAGACATAGTAGAAATAGTATAGTAGAGAAAACGTTCTCTCAGATAAATCAGAGCAGGATACATAAATTGTCAGTGAACAGATCCGGTGAATACAAGACTGAACAAATCTGAATAATGGAATCAAACAGAGGAAAATTTACTGAAAATACTGGCAAAAATGGAAAAAAAACCTCCACCAATAGCTTCAGAGGAAGTAATAATTTTGAAATGCTAACTTGAAAACTGAACACTGCAATTCAGGACTGCAGGGGATCCTTCAGTGTTGGCGTATTTCAGCTGCTTTGTGTTCCCCCTTTCCCTTTGGAGCAGGAGTTCAGAATAGCACTGTGTCTTCTGACAGGTGGTTAAGAGGGGTATTCATCTTGTTTAACTTCAGGCACCTTAACTTCAGGAGACTTAGGAAGCTCAATGAATTGGTTTGCCTTGCCTTGTCAGCTTCTGACCTGGAGCAGGAAGAGGTCTGTGTCTCATGGGGCTTGGCTCTGGTTTTGGATACTCTTTGTAGACTACTTTGCATCAGAGTAACACATGGTTTGGTCTTGATATGCGAGGCACAGTACAAAAAAGAAAACAGAAATCCTGTGCTAAAGAGGTTACAACAAATTTCTATGTGAAAGTTCATACTTTCCATTCAAATTTTTCACAACTCGGAGCATACAATGTAAATACTGTCCTTCTGATTGTTGTCTGATCACGATTTGCAGTATGTAAGCATAAATCCCAGTCTTTATCTATTCAGAAGTCTTATTGACCTTAACAAGGACTTTATCCCATGACTGGAAGTCTTTGCTATGTAAGAAATTCTCCTTGAATACTCCTTAAGACTCATCTAAAAGGGAAATACTCCTTCCTCTTCTTTAATGTAATTTAGGTTTTTATTAAAGTAGGGGAAAAAAAAAAAGGTGTATTGAAACAAGGCCAAGAATGTGCTTAATGAATTAATGAAATAAGTAATTTTGAAATAGTAAAAGAAGTAATGAAAAGGTTGTCTAATTTAGTTATGCTGCATGTCATTTCGGTATTTTTAATAAACAATATATTTGCATAAAGATAAATCATGTGTCTATACTCATCTGAAATCACCAGAGCATCAATTATACTGCTAGCACATTTCTATAAAAAATAAAAATTGCAAACAGAGTTTGAATGTTGCAGCTTCACAATATTAAATTATAAATGTACTTAGATTTAGACTGTTCAGCTGTTAATATGCAGACAAAGTACAAGAGTATCTGTAGTATAAACAAGAAAATAGCATTATCTAACATGACAAAATTGCAAAAATGAAAATTGACACCACATGCATCTGAAAAGAAGGTTTATATACTATAGGAAACAAGACATGACACGTACTTGTAGTGTTTTTCAGTTTGACTGAGAAGTAAAAAGAGGAAAGAAAAATGGTCAGAACAGTCAAGTGCAGCATAATGCTGTTATAGTGGAGAATGGCTTCATTTGTTCTATTTATCAAAACATATTTTTTAATAATCTCATATTAATTACTAACAATCTAATGATAGAAAATAATAGTAGGGATGTTTTCATATACTCATGATAATTGCTGTGCTAGAGTTAAGGATGAAGAATACTAACAATTTTAATTCTTATTTCCTTTCAGAGAGAGGCATGGAGAAGACATTTTTTAAACCCATGGCGATTGCTTCACACTGCTGCTTCCTATACTTGAAGTAATTTTCTCTATCTCTTGCAAGTGAGGCTGTATAGGAGCTATGATATGCAGAGACATTTATCATAGATGATGGATAGTGCCAGGTCATGATCTGAATATTATATTGCATAATAGCTTCTATGGACAAAAATTAAACTATTGCTGGTCCTGGGAAGTTGACTCATACAGGAAGACTGTGAAGTTCAAATAAATGGCAGACACCCACAAATAATTAGCAAAATGAAGCCATTTAAAGCAAACATTTTTCAGAAATGGTTCAAATTCTTTGCTGGAATAATTTCTTTGACATAGTGGAATTACAGAAACAGAAATTTGACCTTTGATATATATATCTTCAGAAAATGACAACTGGAATTGCAAATGCATACTGTATGACATGTCAAGGCCATTCTATAAGAGCAAAATAGATCTCAGGGACATGATTTTGACATTTGTCATATGCAGTTGTATTTTGCAATTTCTTTAAATGACAGTTTAAATATTAATGAGTGCATATAATGCAGGAGTGCTTACCTGGTTTTGTAGGCGGAACATTTTTTTCATGTCTGACTGCTTCATGCTCTAGATAAAAGAAACAGCATAATGAACGTGCCATAACGTTTCGGTTACTTTTTTTTTTTTTTTTTTTTTTTTTAGCTAAGAAGGATTGCATGTATCTTTTTCAGGAATAAACATTTATCTTCTCTTGCTTCATGCTGTTATTTTGCCAAAAAGACAGATGACTAGTTACTAACAGATTATCCACTAAGGGATTTGCCACAAAATAGCAGTGGTACAATAG